GATGGCGTGCCATAATCTCTCTTAGTTTCCGTCCATAATTCAAATGATATCAGCAAAATACATATTGTACTCAGCGAATACGAACAAACTTCACTGTAGATTGATTTGTAGATCAATTGGCTTATATAATACCTCCCCTGAAACTGAAATCCATTCAGTCGAAAGTAGTTACATTGCCCGTTTCGGAAAAAATATCAATTAGGACGCCATTTGCAAATTCAAGCAGTCATATTTAGACTAGCACTCTTACCATTGAAAGTTAAGAAGTCTTCAGTTTCTTCTTCAGACGGACATTAACAACACGGGTGATCACAGATGATCATCATCACTGAAGTCAAACAAAATATTTCAAGCGACTCAAAAGGTCTATTCAAACCCCGAAGGCAGTTGACGAAGCGGAACAGTTCAAGCGGTTTCCCTACAAAACATCGCGAAATAGCTGAAACTTATATATTTAGTGCGCTTTTGTCAGAACTTGCTGGCCTCCCGCGAATCATTTCACAAGATAATATACTGAATAGTCCAAGTATTAAACATCTCAATATCAACATCAATTGCTACCTCAGTGAAAGACATTCACGGTGGGTGAGAAATTTCCTTTATTAACGTTAACCTCACGACAAAATCATCATTTCGATATCATTTCGTTTATGATTTTATTTCAATCTCGTACCCAGAACCACTGTCCCTCTTACTCGCAGGCTCACAGGCTCGACGAAAAACAGTGGCTCTGGAAATTTCGAAAATTTCTCGCTCTCTGATTGGCTCATAAAATAAACAGCTTGCCGCCGGAAATGAAAATATCACGGAGAAAAACACTCAAATCATTCTGTATTTCGCTACCTCACCTTGAATTCTTCCTTTAAAAGCATTTATTAAGTTTATGAAGTAGGAATTTCATAGTAATATGATCAATTAAGTATAAAATGGAATACAACGAGGCGACGAACGGTAAGGACTCGTTCACAACATCCAGAAGTAGGTCATTAAAATTCAGTGACGACACACATCACGTGTATCACGACATCACGACGTACGCGTGACACTGTTTGGTTGACGTACRCATTGGTTGTATCGGAGGAAATATGGAACTTTGCATCGGAACAAAGCTACTTTGAAACATTTAGAAGGCTAAACTATATCTTAAATTGTCAGTAAGTTAGATACAGAAGTAAAAAAGGACCAGAAAGCCAATTCGTGAGCGAATGTTGACCTACTTCTGAATGTTGTGAACTCCATTTTCCACGTGAGAACTGTCTCGTTCACAACACTCGAAAGGAGGACTTCGAAGAAGTTAACCTTAATAGGTAAGGTTTGTTATTAAGTTGTGTTTTCTGTTGTTGTTTTTTGGAATTGGACGTRTTTTGTTTTTGTGAGCAAGTCTAATAATTAAAGTATTTAAATAGAGCAATATCAGTATAAACTCTAAAGGGGATGTTCATTATTTAATACTCTGAGGGGGGTGGGGGTGGTGGGAATATCAAAACAATAAAAAGGGGGGCTCCAAAAAATCCAGAACGTCTTAAGTGGGGGGCTCCCAAAATTCCAGAAAAAAAGACGGGGGGCAATGGAAAAAATTACAATKTGAAAGGAGGKGCTCTCAATTTATTTTGGATAATTTTATGAACATTCCCTAATTATCTGTTGCAGTTTAATTGTGCTTATTATACAATTATACAATGATATAAAAGAATGTGGTGTAATAATAACTTGTAATAATTTGTTTGAATTTTATTCAACTCCTTTACATATTATTTCAGATGTTTTATAAGCTAGATTATATTTTGTTATAAGAGTGTCAACAATGTGGTAGATCTAATGCCCAGGTTTGTTGAATGTTAGGCCACTTCTAAAGTGGGCAGCATAATTGTCTCTTCGGAAGTMATGTCGGATTTGAACCGACTCATCCTCCAAAGGATGTACCATTTGACTTTGTCGGCCTCCGAGACAAGCTCTAGGTGGCCTTGTGTTGCTTTGTCCCTGCTCCCCTTCCAAGTCATCAATCCTACCACAACCACTGTCTGCAACTCCTAACTCCATCCTACAACTTCAACTTATATCTTCCAACCTATGAGCAGGGACGGTGTGTGCAGATGTGTTGCTTTTATGCTACCAAACACYTTCCAACTCACACAATTCATCCTCATCAATCCTACTTCGACCACTGGGCCACCATTGAACAAACTGAACAACAATCCCCATTTCGTCACAAAATATTTTCCAGTACAGATTGGTATATGGCCAAAAATAAAACAATCCATCCCGACAACTTCATCTTGTCTTCCCACCTATTGTTCAGTAGCATAGGGTGTGTGTGTTGTTGTATGATTGGGTGCATAGAATAATAAACATAATATTATAAACATAATTCTTTACATGGGATCGTACATCTGCATACATCAGGTTGGGCTCCTTATATTTCGCCAAAAACAGCAACCTTAGAAAAATATAGTGAAACATTCAATGTTTTGAATTTCAGATGAAACATTTGTTATTAAAAAATGTCTTACACTGAGGGAACATGGAGCAGTACACCCTAAATAAGGTATGAAGGGTAACATAGGGGCTGGGTCCTAAACATATATTGAYCCCTGATACTTTCAGTATTGCATTATTATAGCTGATAATCATGTTGTACTGGATTATTGATAGTTAAGAGCAGTTACAGATATATTCCTTATTTTATGAAAGTTTACTCACTATGTCAGCTGTTAATGCTTTKCAAGAAGTAATTTCAGCAAGTCAATACGAAATTGTCGCTTATCAAATGTAGATGTCAGATCTGTCTTTTCCACCAGACACTTAGCAAACTGAAAAATAGTCCAAAACATTTAATTTATTTTAATTTTATTTGAATTGAAATGAATTCGGCAACTAAATAATTATTACAAGAAAAATGGTTCATGTACTGTATGAGTGGTAAATTAATGTCCCAGCCAAACAGTTTTACTTACATAGCAAACAAAAATCCCACAATTGTACCCATCTGTCTGTGTGCAGTGCTTTGGTTCAWTGCATGGCCATGTGCAACAATTCCAAGTAGTCTTTGAATSTACGAGAGTGCTATCGATAAATGAAAACATAAGAACCCATTAATTTCAGCTTTAGAGAAATAATTATTATAGTACCTTAATTGATATTATTATTTYATACCTGATTTTATTGATGGATCTCATCAATGGTGTCCCCAAATTCAGTTGTGAAGGTCCATTTGATGAAAGAGGGTCAAGGTACAATCTTGTCTTGTTTAAATTGTCAAATGCCTAAGGGAGAAAAAAAATGTACCGTAAATACAATGCTGTTTACTGAAGTTATGCAAAGAGAGACAGGTCAATAATTTTTCATTCATT